ATGTCTGGGAAGTCCCTATATAATTTTCACCTCAGGGGAAATTGTATTCTGTTTTACAAGTAAGGAAGGAATAAAGGAAGTTGTGTCCCACTACAGTGGCAGCCGATCAGTACATAAATCATAGAAAGTTGGAAGGGACTTCTGGTTGTTTCATCCAACTTCTCACCAAATGCTGGTTCCTCCCTAGGCAGACACTGGGCCCCTCTCTCTGACCGCCCCAGGATCATAACACTCTCGTTTCTGAGGTGTAGCTCTGTCCCATTGTTGGGTAACTCGATTTTCTGGATTGTTCTTTCACTTGATATATTAAACACATCCTCTCTGTAACTTTTATCAATTAGTCTTAGTTTGTTCTCAATAGCTGCATAGAATAAATTGATTGATCAAGTTGTGAATGAAAAAAAGGGGCCACGTGGTAACCTGATAAGCTCAGAGAAGGCCTGCATGGCAGTCTTGCAAACTCAAAGACCTAAAGTAACCACAGAGGATGGTCTGAAATTAAAACTTTAACTAAAAGCAGTTTATAGTGGATAGTCATATCCTAGGCCATATCTTCCCTGACAAAGAAACCTATTGTCTTTTTGCATCTCAGATAACATACCTATGAAATGTCAGGGTAACTTGTAACTTCCCTTTTTCTGGACTCTTTAGGGCACAATCAAATGTGCCTGGGCACCAGGACAGAGACCATAAATTCCTTCATTGTTAATTGTTGACTGCTAACTATCCTGTACCCATCTAAGTAAAAGAAGCATGTTTCTTTAAAAAAAAAAAAAAAATATATATATATATATATATATATATATATATATATATATATATATTATTGATTTTTTACAGAGAGGAAGAGAGAGGAATAGAGAGTTAGAAACATCGATGAGAGAGAAACGTCTATCAGCTTCCTCTTGCACACCCCCTACTGGGGATGTGCCCGCAACCAAGTTACGTGCCCTTGACCAGAATCGAACTCTGGACCTTTCAGTCCACAGACCGACGCTCTACCATTGAGCCAAACTGGTTTCGGCTAAAAGAAGCATGTTTCTATCATTTTACTTTTTATCCAATCCCAGAGGTTCCCTTCCAACCCTCTCACTCCACCCCACCCCCATTTTGCTTTCTCCTGCCTCCCTAATCTATCACCAAAGGATTTTGTGTAACCCGCTTACGTCTCCTCCTTTAATTATAATGTATAAAACAAGGTGAAAAATTGCCATTCTCCTGAGCAATGTTGCGATTCTGCTTCCTGGCAATTATCGACAGTTTGGCTCAAATAAACTCATAAAAATTTTTTACAGGTTTGAATGTTTTTAAGTTAACAGATTGATTGATTGTTTCATTCATTCATCCATCCATTCATTCATTTTGTATTGGTGCCTACTATACAATATAGTGAGCAAACCATGAGCATCAAACTCCGGGAACTGACAGGTTACTAGGAGATAACTTGGACATAGAGAAGTCGTATGTCATCCATGCCACATGCTCAGTATAGTTAGGTGTTGTAGGAAAGAAGAGGGGGAACCATAGGAAAGAGTCCAGTCCTGACAGGTGTGACCAGCATATTCATCTTGGAGGAAGGGCATTTAAAGCTGCTTAACTTTATGGTTTGAGGCTAAAAGTCAGAGATTTTGGTGTAAAGATTGGAAGGATAAAGTGTTAGAGAAGTGATGGAGAGTTTATATTAATCAGAGCTTAGAGTCTGAATTGGAGAGTGAAAGACAAGATTTGAAAAGCTGGTGGAGTGTGAGATTGAAGACCAGTGGAGACAAAGTTGTGAGACCAGATGGCATGCACAGCGTCTCCACTGCCAGGCAGCAGAGTTTAAGAATTATCTGGTGAAGCAAGGCAGAACCCTGGGGCCAGTTGCTGAGCTGTGTTTAGGGTGATGACGGTGTCAGAGACCGTGGATTGGAGGGCTATGCACTAGGCCAGGTATAGGTGATAAGAGCCAGGAGCCTGGTGGTGGCCTCTGCAATAGAAGCATGCAGTGAGAGATGAATGATAATGATTGTGACTCAGCCCTGGATAACACCTACTATGCATTTATCAGGAAAGCGTCCCCTTACCCACCCCCCACCTCCAGACAATTTATATCCACCGGCATACCCTCCTTTTAGTTGAACAATTACTTATTCACCCGTGGAAGAGGTTCCAGATAATTGGGGCAGAGAATCCCAAGATCCAAATGTCTGTAACGAAGTATCTCAGGATTGATTTTCCGGTGTCTAGTGAGGTCTACGTGTAGGCTGAGCCATATAATGAAAGAAGCTTTTAAAATTCTTGAGGATAAAGATGTGTGTGCACACATGAATTTAAATTTATTAGCTTTTTCATTGGTGATCTATATATGGTAGACAATAAGGCTCATCATTAATATTATTCCTTTTGCTATTGAGCTATTTTTGGTCCAAATTGAAAAGGGGCTGCCATATGTAAAGGAAGGACAATTAGAAGCTTCACTGAAATGTACACATTTGAACTGGTCACAAGATTAGGCCACTTGCTGAGTGAAGTGAATATCCTTAAAGGATTTGGGGGAATCTGCCAACCTGTCTTCTCACACAATCCTGTTACTTATGCTTACTTCCAAAATTCACACTTTTTAAATTTCACAAATATTTACTGAGTACGTAGTGTGTGTAGGTGTTGAACTGTATAATCAAACAGAATAGTCAAAGATTCCTGCCCTCGTGGAGCCTGCCTAGCAAGGAGAGATAATCAATACATAAGTAATAGATGAATAAGTTGGTTATATAGTACATTAGGAGGAGACCAATTATACAGAAAAAGAAAAAGAATAAAGAAGGGTAGGAGGGAACAGGGTTGCTATGGAGTGGAGACAGCAGGATAGGTTTTAGGTAGTGGACATTGTTGTCTCCCTCATGAAGGTGACTTGGACAAAGATCAGCATGAGGAGGTTAGGTAAACAGGTATCTGGGGGAAGAGAGGTCCAAGCAAAGTGAAGTCCGAGCGAGCGCCAAGGTGCTGAGACAGGAAAGTACTAGAATGGAGAAGAGGCTTTGTGCTTTTTTCATTCCCCTTAGACAAACAATGACTCATATAACCAAGAAAACAGCTAGGAAAATGCAAAAATTACGTTTACTAGTGATAATACTAGATTCAAAATTACTGAAAAAAATAAATTTCACAGAGTGATTTTAAGAAGGTCCACAGGGCATGAGGGGACGTTTCCTGACTGCTGGGGTTTGAATCCTGGCTGTGTTGCTTTCTACCTGTGAGATCTTAGGTGAGGTATCTAGCCTCTCTGTTCCTCATTCCTCATCTGTAAAATGATTCTAATAGCACCAATCTCCTAAGATAGCTATGAAGATTAAATGAGTCAATATTAATAAAAAGCTTGGAATTATGTCTGGCACACAGCAAACACTAAAATATTAGCTGTTACTATTTTATTACAGCTACTACTTTTATTACTTTTACTTGAGGCCCAGTGCACAGAACTCTTGCACTGCGGTTGGGGGAGGAGGGAGATATATCCCTCAGCCCAGCCTGTACCCTCTCCAATATGGGGCTTATGGGGGATGTCTGACTGCTGGTTAGGCCTGATCCCAGTCGGACATCCCTCTCACAATCCAGGACTGCTGGCTCCCAATGGTTTGCCTTCCTGACTACCTGATCTAACCATTCCCCTACCAGCCTGGTTGCCCCTAACTGCTCTCCCCTGCTGGTCTGATTGCTTCCTACTGCCTCCCCTGCCAACCTAGTCACCCCTAACTGCCCTCCCCTTCTGGCCTGATCACCCACAACTACCCTCCCCTGCCAGCCATCTTGTGGCAGCCATCTTTGATTACATGGGGGCCGTCATCTTGTGCAAGGGTGTGTGGTTCAATTTGCATATTACCTCTTTATTATATAGGATGAGGTGGTGTCCTAATCTGGAATATTCTTTGCCTATCTTTTTAGAACTGTGTGTGTGTGTGTGTGTGTGTGTGTGTGTGTGTGTGTGTGAGAGAGAGAGAGAGAGAGAGAGAGAGAGAGAGAGAGAGAGAGAGAGATGTGCTTGTATGTTGAGAGTATGGGACTTAATTTATAAAATAGTTGTAATAATTAGGTAAAATCCAACTGCTTAGCATATAGCAACACCTCAATAAACATTATTAGTTTTCTTCCTTTCTTATAACATTTTACAGCCAAGAAAATTAATAGAGGGTTTTTCTCTTCTGCCTGTTAATGAACTTTTGACTGGTTTATGAGTAGAATAAAGGGCAGGTGAAAACATTCTATAGACTCCAACTTGGAAACCTGTTTTGTCCTTAGCACCACCAGTGGAACTAAGAAATCCCCAGTGGGCCATTGTGAGTATCACTGGAAGGCAAAGAATGGGCAGTAGATGAGTGAATGAGAGTAGAACAAAATGAGAAAACTGAAGAAATAAGGAAGAGCATCATTAAGGTGATACCACTTTGGGATGAGCCCATTGGAAAGCTAGGAGTCCCTTTCTCTGAGGACCTTTAAAAAGAGAAGGGATGGTACCCATCCAGGAGTCCCTCGAGGAAAGGGTTGGATGAGAGAGTCTCCTGGGGCCTCTTCCAGCTCTGAGTCCAACAGCAGCCCCTCTCCCCAATTGGCTATCCTATTGTTGCACTTTCATACCTGAATTAGCCTACATTTTCACCTGTGCTTAAAGAGTCATAAATGCTTTAGATATAAAGAGGGCTTCTATGGAATAATACTAAGTAAGACCAAATCACTGTGTGTTAAGGTAGTTGATGTTGAAAATCAACGTTCTAGTCCTCTAGGATCTGTCCCCAACTTCTCTGGCCATGGCAGCTCTGAGAGCCTCTGTAGTCAGCTGCCGGGGACATGCTGGTGCTGTGGGCTATCAAGAGAAATGAACATCCTGGTGCTGAGAGAAATCCTAAGGTGTAGAGGAGACAGGATGCCATGTCTCCACAGGGCAGGGGTAGGTGGTGGGTTAGGCAGGAGAGAAGATTGAAGCCTAGTGCCCACTCACCCTCTACTGCTGTTTTGGTTCCTAGGTGTGGCAGATGTCTCCCGTGCCATGGATCAACCCTTTTCAACAGCATCAAAGGATGGGGAAGGAGCATGCTACACATCTCTGATTTCTGACATCTGTTACCCACCTCAGGAGGATTCCACATATTTCACTGGAATTCTTCAGAAAGAAAATGGCCACATCACCACATCAGAGAGCCCTGAGGAGCTGAGTACCCCTGGGCCCTCCTTACCAGACATGCCTGGGACGGAGCCCCACGGCTTATTTAGTTCTGATTCTGGAATAGAGATGACTCCTGCAGAGTCCACCGAAGTGAACAAGATCTTAGAAGACCCCCTGGACCAGATGAAAGCAGAAGCTTACAAGTACATTGACATAACCAGGCCAGAGGAGGTGAGCTATCAGGAGCAACATCATCCCAAGTTGGAAGAGAAAGACTTTGACTTTAAGAATAACACTGAAATCTCAATAAAATCTGAAAAAGCCCCTGAACCAGAGAAACCAGCTCCTGTGGAGGGAAAAATCCTCAAGGACCATTTATTTGAAGAATCAACATTTGCTCCTTATATAGATGATCTCTCTGAAGAGTACCATAGAGCCTCCCTGGTCACTGCCCCCATTAAAATCACACTGACTGAAATTGAATCTTCTGTTGAAACTGCTACCCAAGAGAAGACCCCCGAGAAGCAAGATATCTGTCTGAAACCGAGTCCTGACACAGTCCCTACTGTCACCGTCTCAGAGCCTGAAGATGACAGCCCAGAATCCATCACTCCTCCATCTTTCGGAACAGGTAAGGAAATTAGATTTCCCTATTTTGGGAAGATTCAGCACGTGGAAATCTGAATATTAAGGAATCAAGAATTGCAGTCAAGTCTCAACTCTACTGATTTAATTAACACACAGCTTTTCCAGTCTTGTGCCCACATACAAAGGCTGAAATTTGAGATAGTTGTTAATCCTATCAGATTTGATTTGTAATGTTTCTTCTATTGAGGGGAAGGAATGACACACTGGGAGCATTAAATCCTCATGTGGGGTTCTGCGGTTCAGAGCAGAGAGGGAGGTACCACCTACTTCTAAGGCAGCTTGCCTCCTGGACATCCTGGAGGCATCATGTGGTGAGCATCATGGCTGTTCTCCTGAGATCAGCTGGGTTATGTTGGGCAGGGCATTTACATTCTTGGCCCCCAGCTCCAAGTCTGTACAATGAATGGGGAGTGAGCCTCACTCTATTTGAGGGTCTTTGGTAGTAACCTACCAAAGAGTACTTCTCTCCTCCCCCTTAACTCTCAGCACTGTCCTTTTTATCTTTTAATGTATGGAAGATCTGCATGCAGTTTTATTTTTTAAACTATAGGATTTTTTTAGACAGAATTTTTTGAAAAATATTTTTATTGATTTTAGAGAGGAAGGGGAAGGAAGAGATAGAAACATCAATGATGAGAGGGAATCATTGATTGGCTGCCTCCTGCACACTCCCCCTCTCCTCCCAACTGGTGATTGCTCTACACCCTGTTGTTGCAATAAGTCCAAGTATTAGAACAAAGTGGATTTAACGAAAATCCCTCCTATCCTATTTCCCTAAAGATTTAGCATCAATTCCTCCCCTTCCCCAACCTTACCTCAGACTCATTCAACTATAAAGTTCCAGGGGTCTTAAAAATCCACTGCGCCAAGTCCCTGCTTTTCAGATTTATTCACTCACTCAACAAACACTTTCCACACATGTTCTTTTGGTCAGTCAGTCACTCTACTAAGTACTGATGACAAAATTTTAAGAAAAACAAACTTAAATTGGTTCCTGCCCTCTAGTGGGGCAATTGACCAAGAAAATAGACTCTGCTGTGATTTGTATTCTGAGAGAGGAAAACATAGAGTGTTGGGGAGCAACAGGGTTCAACAGCTCCCCAGGTGAACTGACTCCTGCAGTGATTCTTAAAAGAGCAGGAGGAAATAAACAGGTGAATGGGAGGAGTGGCCTTCTAATCTGAGAAGGTCCGAGGATAGGAGGTTTGAGGGTACAGTGAATTTTCCATAAAATGTAAATTAAGATTTGTTTGTGATGACAACTAAGGAAGCTGAGCCCCCCAGTGTATTAGATGTGAGTTGTCCCAGCCTACATCTTGAGATAGGGACATAGCTGGGTCTCAAAAGCCTCCTTGTAGTCTTTCTGACAATGCACCGTACAGTCCTATTATTCCATGAGATAAAGATATTGACGCTCTGAAATGGAAGCTACATTACTAGCTGTCTTTTACATAGCTCCAGGATTGATTGGTGGTCAGTCTAGAAGAACTTCAGCCAGTATTTAGGAAGAGTGAAATACCCCAGCACATATAAGTCTACCTATCTGGCACATGCCTCATCTACAGATTGAAGTTTACAAAGTTGATGATGAAGACTTGATCAGGGTCATTATTATGGAATTTTCATTTTTTTATAACCATCTAGAACAACTTCAAGAGAAAATGAAGACAGAGGTGGTTCATGTGACCTTAGAGTTTTATGATCTTGAGTTGCCCACTTGACAACATGGGGTTAGCGCAATGTTTTTCTCTGTAGTTGCTCAGATAAACATCCCAAGCAAAGTTTATTCAAGAAAGAGAAAGTCCCTTGTCCCATTACATAGCTCTCTCCCATGTTCAGCTCCTCTCTTCACCTATCCTCCACATCATAATACATGAGTCATAAAACAACAGGTAAGAATAAAATTAATAGAAGTGATAGAAGGCATCAGCTTGTCATTGAGACCTTTCTCCTTATTCTTTTTATCCCAAAAGTTTAGCCTAACCCCTTTCTCAACTTGTGAGTCCCTGACATCATATGCCACTCTACCCAGAGACACTGGAAGATTTGGGCTTTCTTACATCCGTTGGGTCTTGGGTCACTCTGCCATTTCCAGTGCCAACAGATAAGGCAAATACCAAGAATTACATAAAAGCCTGCATAGAAATGGAGGGAAAGGAAAACATTCTAAACAAAAAAAGTTCTGTTTATTGTTGTTTAATAAATAAGAAAATCACAAATTCTGGGGAATATTTCTAATTATGTGAACCATAAATCAGGAGAAATTATAATTTAGAACAATTTCAGACCTTGAAGCTTAAGTAAGGAATGTAATATATTTTCTTCAATTCCAGTAGACTATTTCCTTTTGTAACTTCCTCCAACATAACTGTTTTCATCTTGCTAAATAATTATACCCTGAGGTACAGAGGCAAAAATTCTTATTTTTTAAAATATATTTTATTGATTTTTTTTAGAGGAAAGGAGAGGAATAGAGAGTTAGAAACATGGATGAGAGAGAATCATTGACCAGCTGCCTTCTGCACAACCCCTACTGGGGATGTGCCCGCAATCAATGTACATGCCCTTGACCAGAATCGAACCTGGGATCTTTCAGTCCACAGACCAATGCTCTATCCATTGAGCCACACCAGTTTCAGCAAAATTCTTATATTTTAAATATTGAAAGTTTCTTCTTAGCAAATATCAGTCAAAAGTACAAGTGAAGCATTTTAGATAAATAATAATTTCCCTGATGCACCAGCCCATTGACCCATGGGCACCATGTTGTTTCTGACATACACACACCTAGAGCTTGTTTTGGAAGTCATGGATTTTCTTTGCGGTGTTAGCCTCAGAAAGGCCAGTAATCCAGAGGTCATCATTAAACCACCCAGCTTTCCTTAAAGAGAAATAACAATAAAAGATAAATTAATTTCAATTTTCTTTTCTTTGTTAATCCTCACCTAAGGATATTTTTCCATTGATTTTTAGAGAGTGGGAGGGAGTGGGAGAGACAGAGAGAATGAAACATGAAATATATATGTGAGAAAGACACATTGATCAGGTCCTCCTGCATGCACCCTGGCGATGGCTGGGGATTGAGCCTGCAACTGAGGGACATGCCCTTGCCCAGAATCAAACCCGGGACCCTTTAATCTGCAGACTGCAACACTCTATATACTGAGAAAAACTGGCCAGGGACAATTTTAATTTTAACTCTTTGAAAACTAATGTTGCAGGAAGACCCAGCACAAACCTGTTTCCTGAAGGACCCATTCCCAGGCTGCCTTGCACAGGATGCGCTGCCCTGCAGGGCCATGTGAATTGGTGGTCTCCTAGGCATGTTGAACAAGCTGGAGTTTGGTCAGCCCTGCAGGTTAGATGGTCAGACAGAGGCTTCCAATGTGAGAAACTGGACTAGTATGAGCACAGGAAGGGAAGATGTCCAAGATGAGAATTTTCTCCCTCTGTCCCTTCAAGACAAATCACTGTTCTGACTTCCACATTTCTGGATATGTAATTCCTATTCATTTTACTCACAGGTTCACCATTTCTGAGTGACCTCTGACACTCCTTTTTTTTTTTCTTATCCACCACATGAGTCAGACACTGAGTCTGGTTTTTCTCTCTTCTGTGTCTCTTGAATTGTCCTATCTTTTGTATCCCTGTGCCCACCACAACTCATTAGGTTGTCATAATTCCTCCCTCAAGGATTGCAGTATCCTCTTAACGGGTCAGAACTCAAAAATGATCTGTACGTGATCAGTGAATTTAGGCAAGCAGTTAGAGCAGAATCCAGACTAAAGGGGTGCATTCATTTAGATTCAGATAAATTCCCAAATCAGTGGCTTAACATAAATAAAGTTACTTCTCACTTACAGTACAGTTTAATACAGGTCAGGCAGTTCTCCTTTAAGGGCTAATTCGGGGGGAAAGCCTCTTTCCATCTCTTTTTGTTTCTTTTTGTTGAGCTATAATCCACATAGCATACAATGCACCCATTTACATTTTAATAGCTTTTCGTATATTCACAAAATTGTGTATCTATTACCATAATAAATTTTAGAGCATTTTCATCCCCCCCATACCCCTAAAAAAATCCATTACCCCTTAGGCATCATTTCCAAGTAGTTCTTACTCCCAGAAGGGCCAGAGACCACTGTCTAGGATATTCTGAAAATCCTGCTCTCAGGCCAGGGAAAACCAGGTTCCTGAAAACTGTTGTCATGGTGATCCCAGTTAGTCTCACCGAAGGGACAGAGATATAGGTGAGATTGCCAGCGAGGTGTCTGGCCCATCTGGATAGACACCAAGTGGAAGCCAGGCGTTCATACCAGGGGGCTGGTGTACTCTTGGGTTTTGTGCTTCTTGTGAGGAGGTGAAGAAGGGGCTCCATCCTTCGAAGCCTAATGGGATTGTGCACTGGGAAATGGGCAAAATCTCTCTCTTAGAGGGCTTCACCTAGTTACCCTTTTAAAAATATGTATGTTTTATTGATTTTTACAGAGAGGAAGGGAGAGGGATAGAGTTAGAAACATCAATGAGAAACATCAATCAGCTGCTTCCTGCACACCCCCTTACTGGGGATGTGCCCGCAACCAAGGCACATGCCCTTGACCGAAATCGAATCTGGGACCCTTGAGTCTGCAGGTAGACGCTCTATTCACTGAGCCAAACCGGTTAGGACCAGTTATCCTTTTTACTAAAAAAGAATAAAATGATTGTTTCTTATGGGAAACGTAAAGCTGGAGATCAAGTTGTCCCCCAGGATCCCAATCAGCTTTCTTTGTTTTCTTCCGGAAGGGAACACAAACAGCAGTGGACACGGAATCCTCGGTGGTTTTAAGATTGTTGATATCAGTGGGCCACATTAAAGGGTTCTACCCACCAGGTTCACTAATGAAATCTGTGGCATGGGGAAACTTCCCTGGGAGAATAAATCAGATGTCAAAAACAATGACTTCCAGCGTCTGAATCACGTTGAAACAGAAAAAGCAACTGAGCAAGCTGCTGTTGCTAAGACGTTGCTGGGTCACTTATTAAATGGCTAGATTAAGATGGATCGGTATGGAACACCCTGGCTAATTGGGCCTTACGGGTCATTAGCTTTGTAGACAGGTGGCCTGTCTTTCCAGCATGGCCCTGGAAACATATTTTTGTGCTCATGAGCTACGTGTTTCTCAGGCAATGAGAAAACATCTCCCCCTAATAAAAGCTTTGTTTTATTTCTTCTCTCTGTCCGTCTGTCTGTCCGTGTGTGTGTGTGTGTGTGTGTGTGTGTGTGTGTGTGTGTGCATGCACGCCTCTCCCGCTGTCCTTCGCTCCGTGGGACGACAGAACCATCTGCTGCAGAATCCCAGGGGAAAGGCAGCCTCTCTGAGGATGAGCTGGTCACCGCCATCAAAGAAGCCAAGGGGTTGTCCTACGAGACATCCGAGAGCCCACAGCCGGCGGGCCCCGTGGCCGACAGGCCCGAGGTCCAGGCCAGGTCCGCACGGCCCACCGTCCCCACCCCCCTGGACCACGAGGCCAGCAGCGCGGAGTCCGGGGACTCGGAGATCGAGCTGGTGTCCGAGGACCCGCTGGCCGCCGAGGACGCGCTGGCCTCGGGTTACGTGACCTTCGGCCACGTGGGCGGCCCGCCGCCGTCGCCGGCCTCGCCGTCCATCCAGTACAGCATCCTGCGGGAGGAGCGCGAGGCCGAGCTGGACAGCGAGCTCATCCTGGAGTCCTGCGATGCGTCCTCCGCCTCGGAGGAGAGCCCCAAGCGGGAGCAGGACTCGCCCCCGATGAAGCCGGGCGCCCTGGATGCCATCCGGGAGGAGTGCGCGCCCAGCCAGCCTGGCCTGGCCGAGCAGGGCCCCTTCCTGAGGTTCCCCTCGGCTGCCCCCCAGGCTGGCCAGGAGCTGCCCCCTGGAGACGGAGCCCCCGCGCCCGAGGAGGAGCCCGCGGGGCCGCAGAAGCCTGCAGAAGCAGCAGCGAGTTCCAAAGAGACTCCGGCGGCCGCAGAGAGCCCCGGGCCCCGAGGTCCTGGCATCGCGCCCTCGCTGCTGTTTTTCAATAAGCAAAAAGGTAAAGTGGCAGCTTTTCTGATCGAAGCAGCCTGTCTGCTTAAGTTGTGCTTTCTCTGGGTGTTGGGGGGTATTCAGCACAGGGTGGTTGGGGATCAACCTTGTAGGCATGTCCTAGTTGGTCAGACAGGTGAGCAGAGCACCAGGCCAGGAGGATGCCGGATGCCGGGGAGAGAATTCAGTCACAGCTGGGGCTCGGCGACAGAACCAGCACTCTGAGCAGTGAGTGCCCTGAGCTGGTTAGACCTGAGCCTCCTCAGCCATGAGATCTCCTGAATGGAGCCAGTGCCCCCCTCCTCTCTTCCCAGGGCTGGGCTCCTCTCTCAGGAAGGGATGACTTGGTGTGATACTCCAGACTCATCCAATGTCCCACCCCACCAGCGATGGGGCGTGGCCACAGCCCCTCTAGGTACTGGAACCTCCCATTAGCACACCCATGTAGCCAGCCAGCTTGTTTCCTACATGGGCCAAGCGAATCTCTGCCTTCCTCCTTTCTCTTACCCAGGAACAAGGATTTGGACCTTGATAGGGTTTTTTTTTTTCCCCAGCTAGACAGGGAAGACAGGGACCAAAATTGGATCCAGAGTCTCTTGTTCCTAAGCAAGACCTAAGGTCACTAAATAACTTTTAAAGTCACTTATAACTTAGAATCTTTTAACTTGGCCGGGATAGTTTACCCCTGAGAAATCTAGAAGTTTCCAATGCAGAAAAAGCGGAAGCCATTATTTTATGTTCCAAACGTGTTGAGGGCATTTTCCTTCCAAAATCATCCACCACCTCTGATGGCATTATAGAATTCAGGAGAGGAATCAGAGTCAGGTCAATAGATTAGGCCCTGGACAGCCTAGTTAATGGGCAGTCGAGCGAAGGCAGAGAACCCCTTCCCAGCTCCTGGGTGGAGAACACTCAGATAGAACTTTAAAACAATCCCCAAAGCACAACATTTCCCACGATCCCCCTCTCCTATGCATCTCCTCTGCTTTTTGTTTCTTTAGAGGTGGTTTGCCCTTTGAGGATAAATGATTTCTAGGGTACACCCTTGCTCTGTGTATACCCTGACGTCAGTGACGTTAGTAGCAATTAAAGTGCTTCCTATAAGAATAGCATGCAAAATCTTTCTCATTATAGATTGGAAGCCGGCTTCTAAAGGATTTAAAATTAGCTCATTGGAATGGAGAAACCTGGAGGACTATAATAGAGCAAACCTAGAGGAATGCAGTAAAACAGTCACCCGGTTGCCTGGTGGCTGATGACTTCGTCATGGGGCATCGTGTGAGGCCAATGGAAGTGACTCCTGCTTTCCCAAATAACTCTTCCCTGTGAGTTTACAAAATAGTTAGTGTAGATAGGGAGGCTATTTGAGAACACATTTATTATAGCAGAGGAAGGGTGTATTTGGTAGGTGACTAGTAAAACTAATTCGGCTTCTGCCACCACTCTGTGTGGCATCACAAAACAGCATTAGCACGAACAACCCGCTGTCCCTGCCATCCTGACACAGTCCGGCTTGAGTTCATGTCACTGTACTGTACCGGGCATGTGTTTTCCTAACTGGTGTCCTTGAAATAGACACCATGTGACAGTGCTGTTCAAATATATTTATCCTTACAAGTAAATAAATCGGAAAGTCCTGTTTCCCTCCCGAGTAAATCTGAGAGGCAAGTATGGCAGCTGGGACCAACTGAGGGACCAGACATCCGATGACGAGCTAAGGCCCTGGAAAACCTCACGTGCGACTGTAAGGCTTCAGGCCATCTTTTATGGCCAATCCCGGTGTCATTCTAACCCTGTGCAGGTTGCCCCATCTGGTAAGGTGACCAGACGTCCTGCTTTTGGCAGGACAGTCCCGATTTTTAACAATTTGTCCCTCATCCCGCGGCGTTTTAAAAAAGACTTATTGGGACTTTTTTAAAAAAACAAACAAACAAACAAAAAAAAACACTGCGGGATGTGGGACAAATTGTTAAAAATCGGGACTGTCTTGGCGGGATGTCTGGTCACCTTACTATGGCTTGAACCTTTGCTGCCAAGTTCAGCTGTCAGCGAGGAGAGAGTGGCAGCCTTTTCAAAGGACTCAGGCATGCAGGGTGAAGAGCCTTTGCTCTCTCCTGCCAGGAGGCTTCCTTTGAAACCCAGGCTCCCGCTGAAGCGCACTGCTCAGTGCAGTGCCTATGAAGAGTCTCTAAGGCTGTGCAGGGCAGCCACACACGGGAGGTCCTGGGCAGATGATGACTCAGCGCCACTAGCAGGCTATTTGAGCTCTGAGGTTCCCTCGCAGCAGGTGAGGAGATCAGTGCAGCCCAGCCTCCCCCAGGTTGTTCTTAATCACTGTCAGTGGACAGTGGGATTATGCTCATGTCAAACAGGAAGAACTCCTTTCAGCAGCGAGGACAAGTTAGCTCCTCTGTTCCCTGTTCTTGCTCAGTGAAGCCACTGATACAGTATAGATACATTCAAGTTCAGGTATTCACAAGAATGCTCCTACCGCTGGCTGGGAGTCATGCTGCTGATGCGGGGCTACGTTTTAGAAAGGTCCATAAGTCATTAGAATAAGGGTTAGCACATACCTGAGAGCATCGTAGCATGTATTGTTAAGGAGCATCAGGCTTTAGGGGTGCCCATACCCTAACAAGCTTTATTTTGGAGATTTCTTGCCTTTCAGAAACCTCTGTTGATGTTGTTCTGGAGACAAAATGCAATGTGTTATATTCCAGTTTCCTGATTCAGTGCCCCTCTGAGCTCCTGCTGCCCTGTAATTCTGTTCCCCCAGATCTTCCAGGTGGCCCTTATGAACTTCAGAACCTGACAATAAAAATAAGTTTTCATTGCTGCAAGGTTAGCTCTAACTGTTAGGAACAGCTGAGTGAAAAGCCAGCAAAAATTTCTCGGGAAATCACTAATACCCAAGGTAGTAGAGTCAGGATGGGTGTGTGGTACTTATCAAACCATTTGATTGTGAATTTTTTTTTTATTAGAGCATGCCTCGGGGTTCATCTTCTAGGGAGTACTTTTGGGGAAATAGTGGTCTCTGTATTTCTATTTCCTGTATTCTGACTACCTTGCAACTCAAAACAGTGGTGCTGGACCAGCCATGCGGTTATCATGTGGGAGGGAGCCTCTCAGACATCTCAGACTCCACCCAGACCACTGGGTCAGAATCTGCATTTTAATGAAGATCCCCAGGCGATCCGTACATGCATGTTAAAGGTGGAGAAGCACGTTTCATGCTAGGGTGGTCAGCTTCCACATTTCTACCTAAAAACATTCTGGTAAAAGTCACCAATAACAACCTTCTTGCTTCCCAAATGGCCTCTGTTGAGTCTCATCTTCCTTGTCCACTCTGGTAATTTAATGTCATACTGATGACCAGTTTTTAAAATATTAGTGAGAAAGTAATATGTTCATAATAATAAATTTAAATTTAGTACAAAATGTTGCAAAATAAAAAGTTAAGGTTCCCCTACTACACCCTCCTCTTGTTGCTAATTCTCAGAAATAACTCCAGACGTTTGTCTTGCTTTTGTTGCTGTTTTTGTTCCTTTCAGGCATTTTTTGAAGTAGTCAGGCATGCACAATTTATTGCACAGGTGATACCATATTGAACAGACTGTTTTGGAACTTATTTCATTTGACAGTAAAATCAGATATAGTATCCACACACGGACATTGTTCTTTCCTCAGAACCTTTTCTTCCCTTATCTCGCTGAAGTTTCTTTTTTCTGGGTTTCTCCTTACTCTCTGACCTCCTTTCCAATCTCTTACTATCTTCCTTCCAGTCCCTCATTTCTGTCTTCAGCCTCCGCCATCTGGGTAGCACCTCCCAGCTCGCTGGTTTTGAAGTCTCTTCTGAGCTCCACACCCTTTTTCTCAGCACAGATTGGGCATCCCACAGGTGCCCCCAATCCAATACATTGATGTTCTCTGTCAGAATCTCCTCCTTTCCTTCTATTCCCTTCCCTTCCTAACCTGAAAAGATACCATTCTGGCCTCATTTTGATGTGAAAATTCAAATTCTGTCTGGATCTGAGTAAAGACTCCTCAGCCTGTGACAGAGTTAAAAGTACAACCTGATTGTAAACACTTCAGTAGAAGCCTTGCGCTTTAGTGTTTGGTTATAAAATTGTCATCCAAATGATCCAAAATGTTCTTAACACTTGAAAAATTATCATCGAAATAAAGGTTAAAAATGTAAAAATTTTCTCTACAGAACTCTCAAGAATGCACCCAGTGGCCCCAGTTGGAGAAATATTTGGTTAAGCCACTGGTTCTCAAAGTGTGGCCCGGGGACCAGGCTCCTCAGAATTTCTGCTGATTAGAAAGGCAGGCTCCTGCTTGGCCTGGCCCCCAAATGACAGAATCAGAATAGGCCCAAGCTTAAGCCTGCACTGGTAATAAGCACGCTGAAGAGCACTTTGCTTGTAAGCAGATGAGCTAAGCAGCCCAGACCTGTAGTAAAAAGACAACTGGTGAGCCTGCCCTAAGCATATGGCAGTTTTTAATTAGAGAGACTGAGAGGGCACTCAGCCCTTTCCATCCCTTCCTGGGCCCTGGGAGGCGGGCCTCTGCCCCTTCCCTCTGTGGACACCAGCTGCAGCCTCAGCCTGCAGGGCTCAGCTCCTCCTGGCAGAGAAAAGCTGATCTCCTCCTTAGGGGAGTGTTTGCAGGGAGACGACCAGATGGAGGTCTTCTCAAATAGACGTAGCATTTATGATGCTTATTATTACTCTTCGCTACTATGCCAGATATTGCTTCTGTCTGTCCTAAAATATCTTGGAGAGAAGCAAAATAAATGTGACCCATTTACTTTTCTCCTTGTAATTCTAAAAGCATCATTCTACTCTCGTCCTGTGTATATTTGCTTCCCTGAGACTGAATCCATAAATCAGCCTGTAAAGATTCTTAGAGAGTTTCATTCTTTCATGGTGCAGATTCAGAATCAGCCTGAGGACTTGTGCCCCTTCTGTTATAGCTACTTTCCTTCACCCCACACCCCCATACCAG